CGTTGGTTATATTGAGAGGCGTGTGGAGGCTTTCTCGAAATTTCAGTTTTACGTAACAATACTGACGCTAACACTAGAGTTTACATACACACATATATTGTTGATTCTAACTCTCGAGAATCTTCTGCAACTTTGGAGTATAAACGGGAGTTTCGCAATACATATTTAACTTTATAAGTTATGTACACTTGTAAATATAAATTTAATTCAAGCAACCATCGATATTAAAATAAATATATAATAATAAATCCGTCACAATTAAAAAAAATGTTTCCATTTGTTACTTTTATCCGATACAAACGTTATTTGAATTATATTTTTCTGAGTATTACGATTAAGAAGATTTTTTGAAAGATAATTAGTTCCGTGGATTAATTGGAAATATAAATTTATTTCAGAACGCACGAGAAATTCTTTCTGTTTTTTATAGATAAGAACTATCTGTGATTGCTTTTGGACGACGTTTCGAGTTCCAAAAACCAAGATCAGGTAGTTCTTGTCCATAAAAATCCTCTAAAAATAAAGCAACGACCTTAAACTCAACTGAAAAAAGAAAAATTATTGCCTAGTTGTAGTTTTAAGATAATGGATTCTCAATAACTTTATTAATATTTTATTATGGATTTTCTCAAGTGGAATCTCGTCTGTGGGCGATCTTGGTTGAAATCCATGAGTCAATCCGTTTACATGGCTGGCTATCTCACTGGTTGTCTTCTTTTGGGGCAACTTTCAGATAGGTGAGATTCACAACTGGTTAATATTTCACTCTAGTAAAGAATTCCACTTATTTATAGTTATTACTTTTATATTCCATCTTTAGTGTCATTTTATGTTTTAACAGCATGAAATTCATTCATGAAACTGGTTATTTTTGTAGCACTATTCCTTTAATTTAATTCCTGTTTAAACCTATTTATTAAAAGTATCTTTACTTTAATCTTATATCGTAATTCATCATCAGTCTTAGCGATAATTTTAAAATAATTCTCATTTTATGCTTCTTCTCATCTATTTATGCATGTTGTTTTATATTTCACAGATTCACCGATCTCAATTCAGTGTGTTTCAAAGTACTAATTATAGAACCTATATACCTAGAATTACATCTAGTAGATCTATATTTATAAACAATCTTATAATTCTGTAATTTTGATATTTTATCTTTTATATTTGAAATGTTTAATTCTACGTATATGCTTTAATATAAACATCAAACTGAACTTGTAGATATGTCCTTCAAAGTATTTGATCAAGTTGTTTTTTAATTTCAAAAGGCTATGCACTTACAAACGGTAAAGAAATAAACCCCTTCTGTTTGTTAACTCTAACCTTTATATGTGGAAATATATACTGTTTTTCAAAATAATACCTAGTAACGTTGTACGTGCTTTTTTGTAGAAATTAATTTTTATCAAATCAGAGAATATTTAAATATTGTATAGAATGTTCTAGAAATCTGTTTTCTTTTAGCTTTGGAAGACGACCAATCATGCTCCTCGGTTTGGTGATCCTTTTAATCTCTGGGATTGTTTGCGCTTTTTCTCCTTACTTCTGGTTGTTTACAGTAACTCGCTTTCTAACAGCCGTAGGGAGGTGTGGAATGTTTGTAACAGGATTTGTCCTCCGTAAGTATTAATCCCTTTATTTCTAATTTTTCACAAAATGCTTAGAAAGTCTATTTGAAACTCAGAATAAATACTTCACCTAATATCTACTAATAAATCATCCAACAATATTTATAAAAACTCTGAAGTTATACCATGATAGTGACGTAAATTGTAAACGTTATATTATTTAACTATACATATTTTCGAGTTACTTGGTATTGTTTATTGTTCCTTTTTTGTTTCATAGGTACGTATATGTTTTAATCTCAGTTTTAAACGAATATGAAAGTTCATTTGAAAAGTAACAGATATATGAATTTACAATAACTAAATAAAGATAAAGGCATAGCAGTAATAGTAAATAATAACTCAAAGCTTTAATAAGTGGACTTCACACACACACACACACACACACACACATAAATCACAATTTAAATAAGAATCGAGTTCTGATGATCTCGGACAAGATAATACTGAGCTAAAGCATAAAGTAATAAGAAACAATGAGAAAATCTATGAAGAAACACACACACGTGTGCTTACAGATAAGTTCTTAATAAACAGAGACACACACACGTGTGCTTACAGATAAGTTCTTAATAAACAGAGACACACACACGTGTGCTTACAGATAAGTTCTTAATAAACAGAGACACACACACGTGTGCTTACAGATAAGTTCTTAATGAACAACATAATAATCGAACACACGAGATAAATCGCTAAAGCTTAGCTTCTACACATAGATCTAAGATGTAGAGGTGCATTTTCACACAAACCCACAAAAATAAGTGAGCACTCTGGTATTTAATATCCATTTATTCATACAGTCTACTGTCTACTCGGTGCGAGTTTTACAATTACACATACAATTAGCCAGATCCATTTAAGTTAGGTACGTAATTATATATGATCAGTTGAAAATCGAAAGAAAACCTGATCCTATTCAGATTAATATATAATGGATTGTTCAGTCTACTGTCGTTCGCAATATAGTTATGAGATAGATTGGTCTTTTAAAGCTTGACTTATATCGGTATTTTACGTCATTACGTCATAATCTTTTCAATTGCACCTGCAAGATTGTTAAAAATAACAATATAACTGTAACTTGACGTCGAGTGGTCTTGTTGTAGCTATTTTTTTAGAGTCACTGTGTCACCGCTAAAATATTACAAACCTCTATGCATGAAGATCTTGATTTCATAAAACTAAACACTCGTGATTGAAAACAAGATATAAAAGCCAAATTATGTTACTATATATATTCTATCATAGTATGTAATGACCATTGCATGATGGAGCAAAGAATGATGGAAACATACAACTGATCCACCTTTATATGTTATCTGGTCATCATATTTCTTGTGATTATTCGTTAATAGAATGATAGCCAGAGGGAAAAAAAAAGACGCTCGTGTTACTGGTTCAGATAAAATTTCTAATTAACGTACTCTTTCTTTATAGGTACTTTACAAAGGACAATCTTTAGAAGTAAACACGTATTTGTCCATGTAAATATGTTTCTATATTTTTCGAATATACAAGGGAGTGATTTTTTTTTTTATTTCAAGTGACAGTCAAGCTTCTAATAGGGTCTCCATTCGATAGCCACTAGCTACTGAATATCTAACCTGCCACACTGCTTCCTTCATCACAGTTTTCCTTTAAATGTTTTAAAACCAAATACAACACATTTAAGAATAACCAAAAATGAGCAAGTAATTATGGCGCTCAGCAGTTTGTATACGCAACGACTGTATTTATAATAGCAAAAAGCTTTGCTAAACACACACACACACATCTTTAGCATTGGACAAGTGTATTGATATGTTACAATGATATAGAATTTTATAGCTATTTTCGATAATTATTTTTATACATATATATTCAAAACATCAACTGGAAATCCATACTTGTTACACAGACACATTTTTATTAGTTCTCGTGCTACCTTGGCATCTCTTTTGTAAGAAATGAATAGAATATTAATATATACAAATTTACTTACAAACGAATAGTTCATGCTACGTGAATCTTGAAAATATGTTGGTTTGTGTATACTATGAAGGGTGTTTAGTAATTATTTTAGTATAATTTGAATACTTTAGGTTAGAAGTGGTTACTAGGTTCTCTCAAATGATTTGAGTACAATACTTGTTAAGTTGAAAAGCATTCAGTATATAAAGATGTTAAACAAGATGCTAAGATAATAGTTTACTGAATTACAAATAAGAAATATAATGCAGCAAAACTAGTTCACTGAAGGTAATTCATGTTAAAGCTATTTATACTTACTAGCTGACGGTACCCGTCAAGGAAGCAAAAATTGTATAAATAACAATATTAGATAACGTTCCCCTTCCTTATTTCCTTTGTTATTGAATTCCTAATGTCCTCATTAGATGTAATTGCATACCTTGCTTTGTGGAAGGTAATAATTAACTCATTTAGCTGATTAAGTACTTGTGTCTTTAAATTCAAAGCCAAATATGTATACAAATAGAAATGTGCCCTATTTCAGGGTCTTTTTTTTATCCCTCTTCTCTTGAAAAATCCTAAAACAAAACATGTACAGCGTTGGGCAGTTTCCAGTTATCATATAAAACATTATAGTAATAGAATCAGCCAGCTCTGGGTGATGCAAGCCAAAAGTCTTACTAAAGTGAAAACTATTTGAAGAACTTTTTGATTCCTTTTCTCTTTAGGATAGTTTCCAGTTACCATACAAAAACTTATGGTAATCGAGCTAGCCAACCCTAGGTGATGGATGGTAATACACATAATGGATTATCTTTATAGTAAGATCTAAAAAACCTACAAAAATGTATGCAAGGTTATTCAGAAGAAATACGCAACAGCAAAAACATATTCAGTTTTCTGATTGGCGTCTAGAGCCTTCATTATTATTTTACTTCTTCATGACACTTTGCTGAGAAGTCTTATTTATAATACGTTCGCTTGACAAATTTGGAAACTCTCTAGTTAATAAAACTTTTAATTTTTGCAGGTACATCGGATTATTCGTATTATAATTAATGTGTTTGTAGTCAAAATGTCACAGACCATCAGAATAAATGGCATTACCAAAATATCATGACTGAGGAACAAAATAAACTGGGTTGTTCGAAAAAAGTAAATATTTACTGTAGCCTGTGAACTGATCCTAAAAGAAATCCAATTGCTTAGAGTTTATTTCTATAACGAAAAATGCAGCTCTTGGAACATTTTTATAGTATCTATTAAAGTTTAAATGTATAAATGTAAGTAGTTAAAAACCTTAATAAAAATAACATTTAAGATTTTGTTCCATTAGAAAAATATATAAGGAATAGACATGGCAATATTTAACTTACAGTTCGACTAAAGTTGAATGCATATATTTTAATGTGCGTTTTTTCATATAAATCTGCACCTTGAAACGAATAGCGATCAAAAATTTCCGTAATATTTAAAAAAAAATACTTGAAAATCCAGAACGTTTGTGTTTACATATTTTATTTTCATTATTATGTGCATTTTAAGTTGATTCTGTTCCTTTATAAAGAAAGCAAAAATCGTAGTCTATCGATTTTAAGCCGTGTGTGTCCTTTTGGTATAGGAGTAATTTCCATCTGTCTTCTTTTAGTTCGCCGATGTCCTATGTCACACTATCAGTACAAGATAACGTCTGAATCTTTCTGTGAAAGCGACAGTAGTGTGTACATCATACTTTTGCAACAATGGCTTACATAAAAGCGACAGTAGCGTGTACATCATACTTTTGCAACAATGGCTTACATGAAAGCGACAGTAGCGTGTACATCATACTTTTGCAACAATGGCTTACATGAAAGCGACAGTAGCGTGTACATCATACTTTTGCAACAATGGCTTACATGTTACTCTACTGCAACCATAACTTGTAGGTTACTATCATAACTCAGTAGTCTGTTTTAAAAACATTCTTCCTTATTATATGATCAGTAAGCTATAATAGAATAATAGATAGAATATTGATACATTGAAAGTAGTAAACTGGTTGTTATTCTACATGAAATAATATCCACTTTATTGTTCCATTAATACTAAAAGACAGGCTGTTTACTACTTTCAATGTAGCAATATTCTATCTATTATTCTATAAATAAGCTACAGCTCATATAATAAGGAAGAATGTTTTTAAAACAGTTATGATATTCGATCACTGATGTACTGAGAGTGATCGCATCAGCGAACGAAATATCGTAACTGTTCGAAAAAATATTCTTCCTTACTGTAGAAGCTGTGACTTGTAATAGAATAATATCTGTGATCAGTAGGTGGACTCAAGACGAAATATTTTATCTAGACTTCAAGTATAATAATAGCCAAAACTTTACGTTTTATGTAACATTAGCATACTTATTACTATATGGCTTAGGGATCATTCACAATTTTCGCCATTTTTACGCGAATACATAACGTACGTAGGGGGGGGGGAGGTAGCAGCTCGTTTACGTTTTTAAATAAATTTTGAGAGGACGAATTTACTGTCCATATACAACCTGCAAAAGTATTGACCAGAAGCAAGTTATCAATACAGTATTGACCAGAAGCAGGTTTATCAATAAAGAATTGACCAGAAGCAAGTTATCAATACAGTATTGACCAGAAGCAGGTTTATCAATAAAGAATTGACCAGAAGCAAGTTTATTAATAAAGTATTGACCAGAAGCAAGTTTATCAATAAAGTATTGACCAGAAGCAAGTTTATCAATAAAGAATTGACCAGAAGCATGTTTATTAATAAAGTATTGACCAGAAGCAAGTTTATCAGTAAAGTATTGACCAGAAGCAAGTTTATCAATAAAGTATTGACCAGAAGCAAGTTTATCAATAAAGAATTGACCAGAAGCAAGTTTATTAATAAAGTATTGACCAGAAGCAAGTTTATTAATTTTGAGAGCTAAAATACCTCTTTTCTATTCCCCACTATCCTAATTATAAAGACTAATGATAGTTATTTTAAAAACTTTGCCATTTAATATACATATTTTCAGAAGAGGATGGAGGTTCACGAAAAAGTGTAAGGTTTGTACGTTTCTGAAAATGGTGAAAATTATAAACGTCCCCTAAAATAGCCTATATATATATGTTATGTAACTACTTACATATTAATATTAATACAACAGCAGCATTTGTTACCTCCATGCAACAGTCTCATTCGCATACTATCAGTACAGCAATAGCCTATTGTTACTACCATACAATAATATCTTAGTATAATTCACCTTCGACTGCATACTTTCGGTCATAAGACTCAATAAGTTTCTCCTCGCTCACCTCCAACAGCATACTCTCGGTCGTCAGACTCATTAAGTTTCTCCGCACTCTCTCTTCCTTTGACAATGCAAACCTTCAGTAACAGACTCAAAACGTTTCTCCGTGATATCCTAGAGACATTATTGACAGTCTTTTCTTTTTTCAATGAACCTCGTCACCAAAATATCATTAATCTAAAAAGGAAAAATCTATAAACCCTTTATTGATTGAACGATTAATAAGAAAACTATTATCTACAAGAATTGATTGGACGATTGATAAGAAAACTATTATTTACAAGAATTGATTGGACGATTAATAAGAAAACTATTATCTACAAGAAGATGAAAGTGGAGAGCAGTTCTAGGCTTGATTAGGAATGGTTCGCCCTGATAAATGAAAGTCAAGATCACCACGCATGTGATGGCTCCTTATGATATTGTTTTATGATATGATGGGGATAAAGTATCCATTCCCTTCAGACAATCATTTCTGAAAATCTACTTATTAAAGGTCCCAACTTCTCACTTCTAAGCAAGTTCATAAAACTTACAAAATATATATATATCATTTTCCTTTCTTACCAAACGTCTTTACTTACCAAGATGGACCAAACACCAACAAACAGACCAAAACTCTTCACCAGCAATCATTTTTTTTTACTGAAACCGTTTATCGTTAACACCTTTCTTTACCTGAAATACCAACTACTTGAGCAAATCCAATTTTGTAAGAAAAGGAAAAACATCCTTAAAGAAAAAATACTCACTAATTTGAAGATTTCTGAAAAAGTAACAAATATTGTAGTTGTGAACTCTAAAATTTTGTGAACATTAATTTAACATTTAAATGACAATCTAATATTTTTCGCTCCCTCACAAAAACGCTGCAAAAGAGAATGAATTGAAAATGAATAAATGAGTGCACTCGAAGTCTGAGACCACATACTCAATATTCTTCTTTTGTTCTATCACATTTATCTAATGCTTAAAATTTATATTACTCCTATCGCATGATAAAGAATCGATAAAAGACTAAATGCATACTATCTAGCTTAAATGTAATTTGATTCTATCCGTCTATATCTATCCTAGAAGATTCGAAAATTGTATTATTTTCAGACGAACATCAAAATACAATTACCTTTGAGTCGTTGTCCCTATATAAGATAAAATATGTGCTCCATCTTATCATAAGGAACAACTTTTGTTGATTTGAGGGGAATATATGCTCCATCTTATTATAAGAAACAACTTTTGTTGATTTCAGGGAATGTTGTCCCTATCTAAGATAAAATATGTGCTCCATCTTATCATAAGGAACAACTTTTGTTGATTTGAGGGGAATATATGCTCCATCTTATTATAAGAAACAACTTTTGTTGATTTCAGGGAATGTTGTCCCTATCTAAGATAAAATATGTGCTACATCTTATCATAAGGAACAACTTTTGTTGATTTGAGGAAAAAGTTGTCCCTATCTGAGACAAAATATATGCTCCATCTTATCCTAAGGAACATATTTTGTTGATTTGAGGAAGAAGTTGTCCCTATCTAAGATAAAATATATGCTCCATCTTATCATAAGGAACAACGTTTGTTGATTTGAGGAAAAAGTTGTCCCTATCTAAGATAAAGTATGTGCTCCATCTTATCCTAAGGAACAACTCTTGTTGATTTGAGAGAGAAATCCTTCAAACTAGCCCTCAAATTTTCACCCGTTTTACCTTTATCACTTGTGGGATCTATATATTGCTCATATTAAGGATTTTAATATCTTTGCCTATTAAAACCGAGTGAAAAGAACTCACTAAAAATGAGGGTAAAATCATTCGTGTCCTTTGTAAAATACACAGGAAACACTAGCAGTAGTATGTGGTATTAATTGCAATTTTCAAAATATTTTTGTTTAAATTTTGTGTGTGACTCATACGTCATTAGGGACCCTCTAGCCAACAAATTCATAAACCCACAAACAAATTGATTAAAAATTAGTTTAGAGAACTATGTTTCAAAAATACTGGGTCCATATGGACCCCCATCGATAATTCTAATGCTATATGAACCTCATGTAGTAGTAAAGTAGCAGCCGTTTTCGTCGTAATCTTTACGAATCACGAAAACGAAATTACTAAGAAAGTGAAAAGAATAAAGAAATGAAACATTAGTCATGAAGTTTTGTGGATAATATCTTCAGTACATAGAACGAATGTCCAGAAATTCTCATAAGGTTCTATCATTTCGTAAACACTTCACACTCTTCAATAACATTCATATTCGAACATTCCTCAGAAACTTTCATCCTACGTATTTCTTAGCCCAATTTCTTTAAAAAACTAGTGTGAAATATATGCTTTTGCACTAGGTGTTAAATTACCCGCTTTCATTTAAGAGGTATACAATTTTGGATGAGCTATATCGAACAGAAATGAAAACAAGATCAAAGCTATAATTCATCTTAATACACCCCTGGGTGATAATTAAAATATTCAATAACTCTGACAACAGAAATAAAACCTATAGAAATTATCGATACCGTTGGGTAATCTTTAAAATATTGACGTGAAAATTCAGCTTTTAAAATTCCTTCTTATAAAAAAAGCAAATGCATACCTCCCGTTTCGATTGGAATAAAAAGTGTAACACTACAATATCGAATCTATCGAACCTTTAACATGTTTCAATGACTTATTACAGGGAGAATATTTTATAATAATAGCTGAAAATAATGTCTTGATTGCAAGAGATCCTTTATTTGTCCAGAGAAAATAACAAATATAATTATAAATTTGTTTTTCTGAATTCCACTAAACAGTTTAGCCTGTGTATTGAGGAATAATACATTCTGTTTGAGTATCAGTAACAAGGATTCTTCCTTTAATATTTTACTAAGGTTTAGAATAATCATTAAAAATAATTCGTCTATGATTGTTACCGTCTGTGCAGCATTTGTCTACATGTCAGAGTAATTACATGGAATTCTGTCAATTAATACAACATTAAACTGCATATTACTATCAATGTAACAATACCCTACGTATTTTGTTCCATGAAAAATACCCTTTTTATTACTATTAATACAATATTAGCCTTTAGGTTATAGTTAGTGAAACAATAGTCTAATTAATAATGTATCATTCGATCAAAATGAATAACATGTACTGAGTAACAGCGCACAACTAACCAATTCGCTATTGTTAGCGGAACAATTGTAGAATTTGTTAGAACTAAAGCAAAAATGGTCTTTCTACTTAAGGCAAGGAGTGTATTGTATAGATATCAGTTTTATAAGTTATCAGATTACACAAAATTGTAATAATCAATAAAGTAAAACACGGATAAAACTGAGTGTTAAAATCTATACGCTTGCTTGCTTCATTTTACTGAGTTAACTTAGCATCATCAAGTAAACATGTCACAACAAACCATAACGTTCCAAGTAAGTGAAAAGAAAAAAAAGTTATACTGTACAATAAATTGAGTAGAAAATTTATTTCTGTAGAACTTTTTTTTTTAGAATTCGCCATGCAGTCAACATTTTATTTCGTTTGTTTTATAGAAAATCCTCATTGAGCTATCTACTCTGTACACCAGGGGGAATGAAACTCACGATTTTAGCATTGCAAGTCAGTAAACTTACTGGAGAACAAATTTTCTTTTCCGATATTTTAAAAATACGAGAGATTTTTCTTTATAAAAGAAACGCATTGATTTTGCAAAAACATTCACGATAGAAAAATTTTTTTCTTATTTACGACACTTTTCAAATATCTAATGTTCTCTCTCATTACCTTGGGGACCCTTACTGAGAAAATTTGTGTGTGTGTGCTGTCACCGTGGTCGCTTTTCTGCCGATTTTTAAATATATATATATATTTGTATATGATTTATTTGTTCAATGTTTTATTATTAAGTACTTCAAAACAGTAGGACTTTTGGTATATAACTTGAATTTACAAATTTTCACCGAACTAAAGTGTTATCTTTGTATCTCCTATACCTTTGTTTTATCGGTCCTATAAACAATATTCGTTGAATAAACTAATTTCTCTCTGTCAGTGTTGGAAGTTGTTGGACCTGAGTGGCGACCTGTTTTAGGAGTAGCTCGTGAGATCGGCTGGGCAGCAGGGTTCATCACACTACCTGGGTTGGCCTGGTTACTACGTGACTGGTTTTATCTCCAGCTGACTATATCTCTGTTGGTTGTTTTATATTTCGTGACGTACTGGTATGTTCAGGTCCTAAAATATTAGTAAGATTGCTCAACAATATGCTCTTCCTTAATACTATGCAAACTATTATAATTTGTATTTACTTGAAACAAAACTTGAAAAATCACAGTTTTTGACTGTCTAATTTTCATAAGATTTTGCCATAATATAGCACACTTTATCTGAAGACTTAAAATTATGATACACACCAGTCGTAACAATGCCACCCATATAGGATGACCTATGAGTCGCTTTGAATCATGATAATTTGTTTGTCGTTAAACACAGAGCTACAGAATGGGCTATTTGTGCTGTGCTCACTAAGGGTATCGAAATCCTATTATTAGCGTTATAAGCCTTCAGACGTATCATCGAGCCACTGAGTGGTAAATCATGATATGAGACAAATTATATATTATTTTTGGATAAAATAATCGTGAATAGTCGTGGTGTTATACTAAAGTTGCTTGATATTTGACCTTGTCATGACCTTGCTCTAGTGAAATCATTGATTCAAGATAAGCCATATCCGATTAGTTCCATGTTGTCTCGTCAAGTTGGTTAAAATGGCAGGGCATGTTGTTCTTCCTCATGGTTACACCTTGTTGATGCTTAAGTTTAAACTTGTGAACGAACAATACAAAGCAGTATCTATTATAAACAAAGGTACCCTTTTTCTGCTGACGTTTATTTTTTCTTCTACAGTAGTTTGTCGGAACGCTGACATAATTATTTACTAACAAGCAAGTCAAAAAGGGGGGGGGGACCCTACTTCAATTCATTTTCACGTGTTCCGCTATTCGAACAGTCGTAGTTATAACGACGAAGAACATGCGATTCTATGTACCATGACACACACATAAAATAACAACTGTAAAATACAAACACACACACATATATATAGATGTATATATATATCGAATTATCAGTAGAAAAAACAATTTTCTCTCTCTATATATATATACATATATATATAATGAGTTACGCTTTTATGCTTACAAAGAAAAACAAAACACAAATTAATAGAAGTTCACTTAAAGTTTTTCATGATTTATATCGTGAAATGCACCTACAGGTGTAATAGAGTTAATTGTACTTACCTTTCTTCTATTTCACAGCACATTTATCACGATTAGCTCTGGAATTTCACAAAGTTTGTGACTTTGCAAAAAAATAAAATAATAACAATAATAATTCGTTTTAGGTTACAGAAACCTTGACAAGAAATACTATTATTTCATTAATGTTAACTTCCGATCAGATCAAGTTACCTACTTAGATCAAAAACTAAAATAATAATCAATCATCTTTTTATCAATTATGTGCCTTCACTGTTGACGATATTTTCGGCCGTAAACTTATTAACATTTCAAGAAGTTTGTCCAGCTTAGGAGATTTAAGCTAGTCCTAAGTCCATATGTACACCTAAAATGGATAAGACGTGAAAATTGCTAATAAATTAAATAATTGTCTGATTATTAGTGACAGAAACTTGTAATGTAGATAGAGAAACTTATTTTTATAAAGTAGGTACCTAAGGTCACTAAAGATACTATGTCCTATTGTCATAGCATTAGCTCTGGTAAAAAAGTATATGCCTGTCATTCTTATCCCGCTGCGTGCAAAATGATAAAAAGTTGCCAACTTATGAATGAATGCAGTTACTTCACACTAGCCTAAGATTCTTTCGGAATCAATCTCCATAGCTTTCTCCCAGTCTTCCTTTAAATCATGTGTCCCAGACTGAGTATCATTTGTTTTGTTTTTCTTGTCACATTTTCAGTTTAATAATGTTGTAAATGGCACAACTTCACATTAAGTATTAAGCTTATATTACTAAACTGATGTTATATACAAATTCGCAAACATTGTCTATGCTTTTTGTGTATTTTACCACTTAAACATATTTTATAGAATATCGAAACTTTCAGTCTGTGGTCACGATGTTATTTTTTTTATATGCATAATATGTTTATTTATTCGTTGTTAATTTCGCGCAAAGCTACAAGAGGGTTATCTGCGCTAGCCGTCCCTAATTTAGCTGTGTAAGGTAGGTAAGGTAAGGTAAGGGAGGTAGCTAGTCATCACCACCCACCGCCAACTCTTGGGATACTCGTTTACCAACGAATAGTGGGATTGACCGTCACAATATAACGCCCCACAGCTGAAAGGGCGAGCATGTTTGGTGGGACAGGGATTCGAACTCGCGACCCTCAGATTGTGAGTCTAGCTCCCTAACCACCTAGCCATGCTGAGCCGCGTGTCTATTTAAAAACGTAAACTACTGATGTTTTGTGATATTCAATAATCAGTATATAAAAAAGTGCAAAAATTCCCATTTGCTTCAAACCAGTCCGTGGAACTGACTATGCCTCAAAAGGAGGGGGGCGCTCCACTTGGTGATATCCTCCAAACTTTGGTAATCTAGTCCGTAGCCTAGTTACTCTAATATATAATGTAAATGACGTCAATCAGAAATGTCTAATGGACAGTTCTTTCCTACCCTCTGTCCAATATAGACTTGTTCTAACATTTAGTAACAAACATCTTTTGTTCTGGTTCTCTAAAAGAAAGGTTGTGAAGACAACACTTCCAGATAGCTGATATTCTTAATTCTTTCACTGCCTTGTCTATAAGTAAATGACACTTCCAGTGACAGGTTTATTTTTAAATACACAATAAAGAAAAAAGGCACATGTTTTATTATTACTTATCTAAAACGTAAAACTGGTAAATTTTAGGCAGTTTGAAGGAGAAAAAAAATGAAAGAAAAAATAATGCCAATACATGCATAACACCACAACTGTATTGTGTCTGGCTGCTCACATCCTCAACACCACTTATCTATATTTGTAACTTAATATGATTGATTTATATGCATGTTTCTTATTGAACACACATCGTAGTATTGTTATGCATGTATTGACATTTATTTTTTTCTTCATTTATGTTATGCAAGAGAGAGAGAGAGGATTCATATGTTTATATATAACTACATAATCTAATAAAGGCAACTTGTAAGGTAGTAGTTAATTCTTTATGCTTTGATACCAGGAAAATTATATACTATCATTCTCTACCGTTAGCTGTTGTGTGTAGAATAAGGTAATCTGACATATTCAACATACTTGCATATAAAGGTTCATGAAAATATATCGCCTGCATGATACTGACGATCATTACAAATTCTTTAAAACGATTATTGAAATAAAAATTTAATATTATTTGTAAGTAAAAATGGACTAATTTTAGATTTACTATTTCATTTGGGCGCGGGTGGAGTTCCCTTGTGATAGAGATCTGGATTACTATTTCATTTGGGCGCGGGTGGGTTGCCCTTGTAATAGAGATCTGGATTTAGGAACTGACAAATTTACTTCGAATCCGTGCAATACTGTAAAATATTCCCTGTAAGTTGAGCCGTGGGTCCATTAGAAGAGTGGAGGTCACTCGCTTATTTTTGGTGTGGTGGGTGGTAAGGTGCTGCTTATTGGCTGCCTTTCATGTGATCAGAAATTAGGGTCAGTGGCTGAGAGCTTTAATATCTTTGCCATAATTACAAATACCTTTCACTTTGGGGACAAGCTAACGACTATTATCCGAAGTGGTGATATTTATTTCGTCAAGCTAAATGCTATTTTTTTAACATATGTCATCATCACTGGTTTGTGAATGAATACTTGTATGTTGAATACTTTAAGACAAACAAAACTACTACTTAACTTTTTTTATCTATTTTAATTTTTTGTTTATCTTCTATGTCGCTAACGGTTTGCGATACTTATGAATGATCACTGTTTTGGTTTTATGTTTGTGAAATGATGAGCCTTGGTATCGGGGTGAAAGGTCCCGTCGGCACTGTATGTGGCAGTTATAGTGTGGCTTACATATTCTTAAGCAACCTTCTTTGCTTTCCCTCATATGTTCTTAAAATTATATAAGTATTTAAACTCTAGAATAGGGACGTATATTGATTTTTAAAGATATCTCATGCATATGTAATAAAGCATAAATTCAAACTGAGACTATAACCGAGAAAAGATATGTGATGGATTAAAATTTTAATTATTTTCACTTTTATTTCGTTTCTTAACTTACGTTAATGCTCAAATACAATATTCATCATAAAGATTACTATTATATCATTGTTTTAGTAGAACAGAAGAGCAAGTGCATAACTCTTGTATAGGTATAATTAAACTGTTTTAAATAGTGTGATTAACAGTTTCCGATAAGAAGTTTTGTTTATTTCTGGTTCACAATATGTTTAGTTAAATAACACTTGTTTGCATAATTTAGTCTTCTTAATAATGAAGTAAATGTGTTGTCTATTTAGCTGTAATTTTAAAATACCCTACTCGATTAATACATTAGTAAACACTTTACTTTCATCCTCGAATTTTCAATGTAAAAATTACATTGAAGTTTTAAACTAGTGTTAGTCATTTCATAATCCTCCTCCACTATTAACATTTTTTCGTTGTATGGAGCTTGTTATGTATAAATATATTGAGTATAAATATAATAATAACTCTGTTTGTCAGAGATCTCCTTTAATCCGAAAATCTTATGAACAAAAAAGTGTAGATGCTGTTAAGTCATCTTTTTTGAATGAATTTTTATCTCTCATCTAATCAAGTAATTTTCGATGGTCAAAAATAAAGATAAACTTTCTTCATTTATTTTAGGATTATTCCTGAATCACCGAGATGGCTTCTTACCCACGACAGAGATGAAGAAGCAAAAGCTATCCTAACAGTAGCTTCAAGAAAAAACGGCTTTCACAAGCCCGTAGAAGAGTCTGTGAACAAACTGAAAGATTTTCTCACAAAAGTAAAATTATAGGGCTGAATGTTTAGAAATATAGTTGTATAAATAATATGTTTAAATAACGACTATCCACCTATTATCTCCCTGAAATATCTCAAATAATTAAACCAAGGCATTGTTCACAAAGTTAACCCTTTTAATAAATCGAAAAAAAGAAACTTTGTTAAAGGTATGTATTCTTTGACGATATTAATCATTTACATAACTTTGTGGAATTATAAAAATGATATAATATCTGATAAAAACTCGAGTTTCCAATGTTTTAATATAGACGATTCTTATGACTTTATATTTTTATAATATAATTAAATTACAACTATTTTGGTATGAAGATGCGTGACAATTTGAATCTGTCTAAGCACTCCGTATGTACAGCAGAGTTTACATATTGGTTTATTACAAAATCCTTCAATTTCTGGTTAATATATTTTGTTTATTTGACGTAGTTCTTTTATAACATTTTCGTAAAGCTTTGGAGAAAAACCTTCATTAAATTTGAGAACAAATCCTGTGTGTCAAAAACCTGCTATATGCGAGGAGGGAATTAATATAAATATAATTTACTCATTTGAAAACAATATTGATTAACAAGGTATATTCTTCTTGGTTCTGTACTATGCACCATGTCGGTGAGGAACCTTCAAAGGCAGCTAATCTAAAATATTTTACCATTTTATAGGAAACTGGTTATATCGGTTATCTTTTTCACCTAAAAATGCAATGAAGTGGCACATATTATTGTTAAACGGTAATAATATGATAAACAAGAATACTTTATCGGATATATATTTTTACCCAAAAATCATATCATCAATTTATTTATTCGTACGGTATTTTGTTCTTGTGTGATATAAATCTGCATAAATGAAGTTGGATTTTGTTTTCAATTTGAGCGGCATTTTTTGCGCTCGTGGGAAAAAAATCAGCATGGTCAAAGACTGCTAAGGCTCACGTGTGGCTGTCCTTAATTTAGAATTACTGGCCAAAAGAAAGACAGACAGCTAGTAGTACCCACCGATACAAGGGCTTTGTTCAACTCTATGAACCGAATTACGGGATTGACTGTTACCTTTATAATGCGTACACAGCTGAAAATGTAGGAAATGTTAGAAGTCATCACACCTCGAATCTCGGACACTTCGATCCGCAGTCTGACGCGCTAACCACTAGATAAAATAAGCACATAAAATTACATACTTATAAAAAATCATTTCCTCATCTCGTTAGTACCATACCGAGTTCGTTAAATGACAAAAAATATAAATAATAATAGAATTATGTCAGTCATGTACCTTGTCAAAACTAAATATACCAAAAATAAAGTTTAGTTCTACTGTTGCGGAACAACAAGTTTTTACACGTTCTCACGTGTCCTCTTCAGTCCAACTTTTGTTTGTCAATACTCTACGGAATTGTGCATTTCTCGGAACAACAAGTTTTTACACGTTCTCACGTGTCCAACTTTTGTTTGTCAATACTCTACGGGAATTGTGTATTTCTTACCAGTTTGAAGAATAAAAAAATTATGTCAATACTTATAATGTGATAACAACTAAAGTATATTTTTGGGAATATTATGTACAGAAATTTTGGAATTCTCATAATTAAAACTTATAAACCAAAAGATAAAACTGCATGTATGCTTCTTTATTTCATAAATAATGTTTCAAATTTTGACTTTGTTTTTTAGGATCTTGCAACAAGTAAAGTCAACCAAAAAGCTACTCTTCTTGACTTGTTTAAGACTCCAAACATGAGGAAGAAAACGATGAATGTTTGTTTTAACTGGTAAAATATATTTTAGAAATACGTGCAATCTTTAATTTGACATAATTCAATTAAACTTGAAACATTTCTCTTAAAAGTTAAAATATAAACTTGAAGTTATTAAATATAGCACTCAAGAGTATTCTCGATTATAATTAATATTTGAATCCGTCGGTTCTTGGTGAAACTCCATAAATACAGAATTAAAGGCATCATCGGGTACGGAGTGAACAAGCTTGCAAACAGGTGATTAGCAAAATAAAACCGGAACTAGCATTGATATTTACACTGGGGCAAGTGGGGAGGAGCTTAAGCTGTTCTGGTCATTTACAGCTATGTCTGGGCTCGTTTTTATACTTCTATTTGCTTCTACAATTTTCAGATTATCTAGTTTTTACCTTTTTCACAGACGTGTGAAATTTTGCAGTTCCCCGATGAAATTGATGTTTAGTTTCCATAAGTTGTGATGCAAAAGTTGTGTCTATTTTTCCGGTTTCTAGCTTCTCGAATGTTCTCTTGTTTCTATGGAACTTTCTGTCGTCTAATCTGTCTATACATTATTGCAGTTTTCATATGTTAGTTACTAAAGATCACTCTGCCTGTATTTTTCGATTTTGTCATTATTATTACACAACATTTTGCTCAGGTTGTTTGAATAATAAAAGATCGGTCTACACACTTGTCTGTTCAGTATGTTATGTATTTTGTGAGGTTTCTCAGTGCAGCTTATCTTACCCCATTTCTTTCTGTTTTTGTTGTCATTTGATACAGTATGTGGCTACATTTATTGTAATTTAATGGTTTTTGATTTTTTCAAACAACATTGTGTTACTTAACTTTGTTGTATAGCCATTAATGGCAACAATTTGTTTTATCGTTTTTAATTCAGTTTCATAATCTTCAGGTGATACGCATAGAAGAGAGGGGAGAACCCATAGCTAACCCTAACCCATCGTTTTGTTTACATATTTAGTCATTAAATTTGAAGTAGTTCTGATCTAAGAAAATGGTTATTATTATTTGCAGAAATTTTCGTGGATAATTTAGAGAATGAATTACTTAGTGATGAAAATAAAACATAACATGTGAAATATTAGTACAGATATTTTGATGATGTGATTTGTCTTTGGACAGGCAAATTTTGTAACTCTATAACTTTATAAAACAGATCTGTTAAGTTTATTATGGAATACAGAGAAAATGGTAACATTAATTTGCTAGACTTAAATGCTGACATAAATATTTGCATACGTTCCTTCAACATTTTCAGAAAACAGACATATATTGACACCATCAAACATGCTTCTTCAGGGCATCCAATGTCTCACAAACCTGCCATTTATTATAGTGTGTACCCTTGTCATCTGAAGATGATAAAACCCAATTGTTGTCGATTATGGTTATACAATTAAGTTAATTGACACATTGTTGTTTAAAAAATTAAAGGCCATATACTTGAAATAATATACTAACATACTGAAACAAATTGTGTAAGATGAGCTTCACTGGGAAACCTTCTCACAAAATGTATAACACCCTGAACAGACATCTACAGACCGTCCTTCTACTGTACAAATAACCTGGACAAAATGTTGTGTAATAATAATGACAAAATCGAGATGTACAGCCACAGTGCTGTTTACCAATTAACACATCAAAACTCATAGAAACAAGACTTAAAGAACATTCGAAAAGCTGGAAACAACGGACTCAACTTTTGTATCACACTTTATGGAAGCTAAACATCAATTTTAATGGAAGAAAAAAGAAACAAAATTTTACATGTCTGTGATAAAGACAAAAAAAATGATCTGGAAATTTTGGAAATAATTAGCAGTCTAGAAAATGATCCAGACAAAGTTCTAAACAATTAAATCAATTTAAGCTCCTCAAGGTGAATATCAAGGATATTTCCTGTTCTTTTGTTAAAGTATATATATATATATCTGTTTGCAAGCTAGTTCAGTCGGTACCTGATGAAGCCTTTATTGGCAGAACGATGGTCGTTATAAATGAAATACGGTTGTCTTTGTTTTTCTCTATTATATATTCTCAATTAGTTAACTTATAATATATTAAACCAGCTGAATTTTAAATTTACATTGTCAAAACTATTTTATCTGTTTATAAATTTTCCTTCGTTTATAGATTCACTTTCGACTAATAAAATCGACGAACAGTGGTTAAAATGAAATAGATTTTTGGATATAATTAACTGGAAACATTATTACCTGGGTTTCAAGATTCAATCTTGATCTATAGAACGCCAAGATCTATCCTCTTGGAAATCCTATAATTTGTCATCTCAACCCTTCAATGACGGTTGCTCTTAAACGAAAAGTTTATTAAAAGAAAACCAGATACTAATTACATCACGATCAGAATTAAGTATTAAAAAATTTTCAAGTTTATATTCTTATTTATCCCTATGAAAAGTTTTAGTTGTCATCTAATACGTTATATTTGTATCTCAACAACTCTTCTCTGACTTTAACAATATCCTTGAAAAGCATGTACTAGTTTCCAGTTTTAAATAAAATTCTCAAATAACTATATAATCAATCATGAAGAATGATGCACGAATTCTTTTAAGACAATAAACCATCAACCACTATGTGAAAGATAAATCTTAAAAGAACTCATCTTACTGCGTAGTTTAAATGTTTAAAAGGTCACAAAAATCACAAGTTTGATCCCTCCTTCTTCGTGTTTCCTCTCTTTCACCACTTAATAATAATAAGATGGTCGTTAATTTGATTACACGAGACTGCATTCTAATGCAGAACATGAACGTTTTCTTTTTAACTACATATAGGTTTGTCAACTCCTTCGTGTTTTACGGACTATCCCTGAACACAGAAGACTTAGGAGGAAATCTTTTCATCAACTTCTCCATAGCTGGAGCAGTGGAATTTCCAGCTTACTTGTGTACCATTGTTGCAATTAAAAGATTAGGAAGAAGAATTCCTCTTATGTCCGCAATGGTGGCTGGAGGGATAGCATGTGCCTTAACAACACTATTTCCTGGTAAGAACGCGTATTTTTCAAGAGAAAAGTTTGCCAACACTAGTTAAAAATAACAAAATTGCGTTAGGTCTCTCTAAAAAGCTACAAAATAATAATATTATACTTTCAAAGACTAAATGGATGTAAATATATTGGGTGTCTCGAAATTGTATTTTCAAATTAATTATTATTTTTGTTTGAATGTGATGAAACTCTTGTTAAGCCGTTCCATGATATTCTATACATGTTTCAATGTACTTTCGTGTGTCTATGAGATAAATGTAACCGCCGTAAGACAGAATTAATTTTGCTTCTTCTAAATAGAGGGTTCCTGAATCTTATATAAAAAGTGCGTGTGTTTCACACACAGAAACCTTGAAGCTGTGAATACTACAATTAGGTCGTTTATTTTTTGAAGTAAGGTTGTTTTACGTTTGAATGAGAGTTTACGTTTGCGCATTAATGAAGCTAATTTATCGCGTTTTTTTTTCATGGGGTTTGTGTAGCCGGGTTTGGCCTAATGGTTAGCAAGTCGTCCTGCGGATCATTAACTCTAATGTTTCTAACAAGATACTGCTACACACGCTCAGCACTTTCAACCGTGGGTGTGTTATAAGAGTAACACTGAATCATGCTATCGATACAAAGCTCTTAAAGTAGCGGGTGTGCTACCTGGCTGCCTTCCCTCTTGGATTTAGTTCAAAATTACAGATAGCCATACTATAGGGGTTTCTGAAACATGTACGCAAAAGGTGCCATTCAGGTTAAAAAAATCAAACCCATAGTATGAAATGTTATGTGGCTCTGTTTTGCATTCTATTTCTACGCAAAAACAAACAAATAACGGTATATGGGAATAAATATTGAATTAATCTTTGAGATAGCAAAGAAAAATTTACTTCAAAAGTACTATTTAAAATTGGAAATAAGATTTAAGGTGTTTTTCACTAAAAATAAAATTCAAAGTCAACAGTACTAATTAATTTGCTTAGTTTTGTTTTGTTTCTTTGTGTTTGTTTCTAAAGAAACTTTTTTAGCAAGTTATCATTAATACGTTACTCATCTAATTAACCACTTTCGGCTGTAAACTTTTAAACAGGTGTTTAAACTCTTTCAAACCGATACTGCCGATATGAACCATTATTTATCATCACAAACAGAAGACGAAAGTTTTAATGTGCAGAATGAAATTTCTTAATGTGTTATTAAGACATTTTAATACATTTTTCTACCTGAAAACAGGTAGTCTAGCTTTTACAGTCCAGATATCTTGTTACGAATTTAAAAGACGTTCTAAATCATTCAATGGCCACATATTTATCTACTTGCTGAAACCATTTCAGATTGCAATTTTCGTTAAGCGTCTTGTTAAAAAACAAAATCCCTTTAATATAAGTAGGTTGCATAAAACACTAAGGATTATTTTGCAACTGTTGTTTTTGTCCAGAATACTTGTGGGCTCGCGTGACTTTGGCGATGTTTGGAAAATTCTGCATCACGTGCTCATATGCCATTATCTACGTATTTAGTGCAGAACTTTATCCTACTGTTGTGAGAAACGTTGGAGTTGGATGTAGTTCGACCTGTGCTAGGATTGGAGCAATTATTGCACCTTTTATGAAAGAAGTAGTAAGTAAATAATTAATTTATATTTCAGATAAATATTGTATTCTTTTACTTTGATAATACCTACCAGATTTGTTAACAATAAAAATCCTCCCCAAAACATTTTCATCGAAAAATGCAAGTATTTCCAACAATGAACATTCAAAACTTTTACACCTTAAATGCTAATATTTTCAACAATAAATATCCAGTCTACAAGACATATCTCAAAGCATGCAGCTCTTTTTAACAATAAACATCCAGTCTCCACGACTTAATTCGAAGCATGCATCTACTCTTGAAGACTAGATGTTTATTGTTAAAATAGATGCATGCTTCAAGTTAATTCTTGAAGACTGGATGTTTATTGTTAAAATAGATGCATGCTTCAAGTTAATTCTTGGAAACTGGATGTTTATTGTTAAAATAGATGCATGCTTTGAGTTAAATCTTGAAGACTGGATGTTTATTTTTAGAAAAGACTGGATGTTTATTTTTAGAATAGATGCATGCTTCGAGTTAATTCTTGGAAACTGGATGTTTATTTTTAGAATAGATGCATGCTTTGAGTTAAACAAGATTTAACTCAAAGCATGCATTTATTTTAACAATAAACATCCAGTCTTCAAGAATTAACTTGAAGCATGCATCTATTTAACAGTAAACATCCAGTCTCCAAGATTTAACTCAAAGCATCCATCTATTTTAACAATAAACATCCAGTCTCTAAGATTTAATTCAAAGCATGCATCTATTTTAACAGTAAACATCCAGTCTCCAAGATTTAACTCAAAGCATCCATCTATTTTAACAATAAACATCCAGTCTCTAAGATTTAATTCAAAGCATGCATCTATTTTTCTTTAAATAATAAACATTCGAATCATAACTAGAAATGCCACATTTTCTAAAATCATAAGCAATGAAGATTAAAATTTATAACTTCACCCAATATATATTTTCTCGTCAAAACCTAACTGAAAACTAGAAATATCTCTGAAAAAATCTTTAATTAAGGACGTTTCGTAATTTCTTCAAATTCCATCGTCAGCGTTAAAACCTCCAAAAAGGTTAGTTCCCAATATTCTAACTACAAAACCCCATTAGCTATTGAGCGATTTGCGTATTCAATCGGAAATTTAGAAAGGATACATAAAGTCGTTCAATAGCTAATGCTGTTTCTGTAGTTAGAATATTGTGAAATAACCTTTTTGTTTTGAGGTTTTTAACGCTTAGGATGGAATTTGAAGAAATTCCGAAGGTTTTACCGTCTTTTTAACGTTTATTATAAAACTATGTTTTTCACATGATGAATCAGTTGAAATATCTCCATTTTTGGACAATTTACTCTCACCCCAAGACTTAACTACAAACACACGTGTATTTTACAACAGGTATTAATTTACAAAAATAAAAAACTAAAAGTCACCCAAGTACTTTAACAACATGCGTTAACTTTATATAATGTAACAAGAAACATCCAGATCGTTTAATTACAAATACAAATTGGGTAAAATGCAACTCGGAAAAATCAACAATTTTCTATCCTGTGTAACATAATTATAAATATCCAGACTAAAACAGTTATAATTTTGTTTTCAAAAGACTCTCATTAAAGATTTTTCAAAATAACTACTATACATTTACAGATATTTTTTGTGTCAAAATTTCTATTATCTAACATGTAACCAATACTGACAGATGTGAATTTATAACAAACTTTTTTTTCCGTGACAAATTTTTGTTATATTTCGGTTTACTGTTCCAGGACTTAATAAATCCGTTATCTGTTTTCATGATAGGGTGCATTCAGCCATCCAAGTGTTCCATTTGGCATTTTCGGGGGATTTTCGGTCGCAGCAGGACTTTTATGCTTGCTGCTTCCAGAAACTAACGAGAAAACCCTTCCTGATACACTCCAACAAGGAGAAGAGTTTAAAAAATGATTCAATAGTCCAAACCGCTTACGAAGAATGTATTGTCTTTTATGTTTCTTTGAGCCTGATTCGAGAGAATGATAGTGTTACGTATTGATTGACATTGAATCCTTGTAAAGATATTAGTCTTTATATGGTATTTTCAACTTTTCATTTCGCAACTGCACGAGAAGCATAATAAATCCACCAAAAATGTGATAAAATTTTGAATAGAAAAATACGCTAAAAAATGTCGTCGGCGGATTGGTGTCGTAAAACTACTAGGATTGCACATTCTAATCTATCTTGGTATCGCAAAAATACCCGTAGCTTATACACACTAACCTGACTCAGTGTTACAAAGAATACCAATATCACACACTTTAACCTATTGCAGTGACATATATCTTAATTGTAAGATACAGTCTAACCTGACTCAGTGTTATAAATAATACCAATATCACACACTTTAACCTATTGCAGTGTCATATATCTTAAATGTAAGATACAGTCTAACCTGACTCAGTGTTACAAGGAATACCAATATCACACACTTTAACCTATTGCAGTGACATATATCTTAATTGTAACTCGGTGTTACAAATATATTAGTTTTACAAGTACAATCCAAGCTCATATAATACTCCTAGCCCACACTATAAGTCAGATCGCTGTCACAAGTAATACCAGTATAACATTATATAATCTAACTCAATGTTACCGAAAATAGTGCGCACACTCTAGCCTAGTTCATATACCACTAGCTAGTTATTCCATGGATACTGTTTGTCTTTAAAGTCGAAAATCCCCTTTTAACCTCAGTTGTGCTTAAAACAGAGTCTATGAAAAAAAGGTCCTAATTCGGTGGCTCAAAGTGTCTTAGTATATACACACTAATGTAGCTCGGTGTCACATATGATACTTGTATCACACACTAATCTAGCTCGGTGTCACATATGATACTTGTATAACACACTAATCTAGCTCGGTGTCACATATGATACTTGTATCACACACTAATCTAGCTCAGTGTCGTATATGATACTTGTATCATACACTAATCTACCTCGGTGTCGTATATGACACTTGTATCACACATTAATCTAGCTCGGTGTCACATATGATACTTGTATCATACACTAATGTAGCTCGGTGTCACATATGATACTTGTATCTTACACTAATCTAGCTCGGTGTCACATATGATATTTGTATCACACACTAATCTAGCTCAGTATCGTATATGACACTTGTATCACACATTAATCTAGCTCGGTGTCACATATGATACTTGTATCATACACTAATGTAGCTCGGTGTCACATATGATACTTGTATCTTACACTAATCTAGCTCGGTGTCACATATGATACTTGTATCACACATTGATCTAGCTCGGTATCGTATATAATACTTTTATCACACACTAATCTAGTTCGGTATCGTATATAATACTTTTATCACACACTAATCTAGTTCGGTATCGTATATAATACTTTTATCACACACTAATCTAGTTGGATACGTATATCACACACTAATCTAGTTCGGTATCGTATATAATACTTTTATCACACACTAATCTAGCTCGGTATAGTATATGATACGTATATCACACACTAATCTAGTTCGGTATAGAATATAATACTTTTATTACACACTAATCTAGCTCGGTATAGTATATGATACCTTTATCACACACTAATCTAGTTCGGTATAGTATATAATACTTTTATCACACACTAATCTAGTTCGGTATAGTATATGATACGTATATCACACACTAATCTAGCTCGGTGTAGTATATGATACGTATATCACACACTAATCTAGTTCGGTATAGTATATAATACTTTTATCACACACTAATCTAGCTCGGTATAGTATATGACACTTGTATCACACACTAATCTAGTTCGGTATAATATATAATACTTTTATCACACACTAATCTAGCTCGGTATAGTATATGACACTTGTATCACACACTAATCTAGTTCGGTATAATATATA